ATCCTGTTATTCGTCGATTGCCTCGAGCAGGCCCCAGTAACGTCTCTTTCATCCTAGCCCTGAGATTATATTCAAGGCTATTTAGGAGAATGAGACCCATCATTGTTACTGGTATTTGGCATATTTGGTATGCCACGGGGAGTTTGCCATACTCTGTCCTGTGGGCAGGCTACATTCGATAGCCTGCAAGTTTGTCCAAAGTAGGAATGAGACAATAAGATGTCATAAAAAAAAAAAAGTTCTGATAAGATGTCGCGCGGCCGCAAATGCGGCCGCGCGGTTCTGGGATCTGGATTTTATAGTCTCTGAGTCTTGGCCACTGATGGGATTACACGGCGCCAGGGGGCCAGGTGGTGGGTGTGACCCCCGCCTACTGGAATTTGGAGGATCTGGGTGGAAGATGCTCGACTCCAATTTGAGTAGGCTTGGAGGTCTCGGCCCCGGAACCCGCGTGGCTTTGTCCCTCTGCCAGTACCTTCATGTGTGCGGAGAGTGGTCTCAGCATGGTGGTGGCTGGTCCTGGAGGTCTTCGGCTGCCGGAGCCCTGGTCGGGGCGGGGAGGAAAGCTCAACCCGCTCCCCTCCAAGGGGCTCCGGGAAGGAACACCCAGGCGCGGGGGCAGAAGACTGCAAAATTGTTAGTAAGATAAAGTGTTTTCTATAAAGTACCCAGTACACTTCCTGGAACAGAGTCAGTGCTCCATAAATTTTTGCTCAGTTAGAGATCTCTTCCTCCTTACAGGGTATGTGAACATATCTAAAAATACAGCCTTTTGAAAATTGGAAAAGGTGATAAGGACGATGGTGATGAAAAACAAACTCGTCTGCAATATAATGTCTTGATTAAAAAAGGGAGTGGAGCAGACCCAACATTTGCCTGGGTGAGCAATGGAATGAATATCTGTTACTCATAACCCCTTTTTATCCAAGACATGTATCCTTAGATACACGGTATATGTATTGGATACAAAATCAGAATACAGGATTACAAGCAATCCAAAGATACATAGTAAAATAATTTTCTTTGATTATTGGTCTTTCGATAAACTTTGAACTTAATACTGAGGATTACAAAAAGTTAAAACATCTTTTTGGAAACCTTTTTCCAGATTGTGATTAACTGTGATTAACTGAAGTAAAAAAAAATACTTGCCCACACACCATACATTTGATTTAATAATAGAAAGCACTCTTGTAATAACGTATTTTTTCCTCCTCTTTCCAATGAAGATGGGGGGAGGGAGGGAGGGAATGGATGATTTATATACTAGTATAGAGTAGTTAAAAAAAAAAATCACATTATCTTCCTAAGCTTAGAAGCGCAGTATAATTTTTTGGATGGAAAAACATAAGACCAAAACATCATGTATTTAGAAACATTTTCTTTGAAGTTCTGTTTATATAAAATATTTTATGTTCTCTTTTTGGAGGGGGATGGAGGGGTTTTTCTTTGGGGGGTGGGGGCCCACACCCAGCAATACTCAGGATTATTCCTGGTGGGATTTGTGAAATTACAGGGCACTGGAGATCACACCTGGGTTGGCCACATGTAAGGCAAAAGCCCTGCCCACGTATTCGATATGCCAAACACAGTAACAGCAAGTCTCACAATATTACTGGGCCCACTCGAGAAAATTGATGAACAACGGGAGGACAGTGCTACAGTGCTACTGTACTCTCCTCCGGCTCCAAATATTTCACTCATTTATCAGTAATGTTTCCCTTTAACAGAAATATTAAATACCGGAACAATGAGAATAGTGATGAATCCTAATTAATCATGAACTCTTAATTCTAAAGTTTTCAAAATAGAAGTTAAATGAAATATGGGCTGGAGGGATTGTGCTGCGGGTAGGGAGCTTCCCTTGGACACAGGCAGGATCTGGTTTGATCTCACACTACATATGGTGCCCCGAGTCCTGCCCAGACTGATCCATGAGTTGTAGGGCCAGGAGTTAGCTCTGAGTACTGCCAGTGTGGCCCCAAAGTCAAAACAAAGTAAAGGAAATAAAACAATGATATGGCCAATTTCTGTGTTGGTATTTAATATGTAAACATTTCACTTGATCACTTGACATCCCATTACTCATCGATTTGCTTGAGCGGGTGCCAGTATCATCTCCATTCATCCCTGTCGAGAGCTATTGTAGCCCAATGGCATCTGCTCTCTCCAGGAACACAAAGAGCCTCAAACTGATCCTTCAGGGTCTTGAAGAAGCTTGACTATCTCGTAGGTGGGCAGCCACACGATCTTTTGACATCCCGTGAAATCCAGTTGGTAACGGCTCTAGTCCAGCGGTCGTCTCCAAATCACATTATGTGTCCAGCCCATTTGATTTTCGATGCCTTGGCAAATGAGACAGCATCCCTGATTCTCAATTGTCGATGGAAGTCGGAACTCTGGATTCCTTCTTTCACTTAAGTGAAGCGTGATACTCCAAGCATAGCTCTTTTAATTCCTCTTTGGGAGACCCGAATAGCATTCTCATTCTGTTTTCGTAGGGCCCAGGTCTCTGAGGTGTATGTTAATGCAGGAAGAACAGTGGAATAGAAGAGATGTGCCTCGAGCCGGAGGTTCTTCGTCCTCTTACCTAATTCTTTGACGCTCTTGAAGGCGTTCCAAGCCACTTTCTTCCTGCTGAGCAACTCAGGTGCCAGGTCATTCGTCATGTTGACTTTTCGACCCAGGTACACATAACTGTTGCATTTGGAGATGTTTGTCCTGTTGAGAGCGAATGGAATGTCAGGAACGAGACTGTTTCTCATAAACATTGCCTTTGTGAGATTCAGCTGTAGTCCGACCTTTCCACACTCACGGTCGAAGTCGGCCAGCATTTGTGCCGCCTGACTAATGTTTGGTGTTACTAGAATGATGTCATCAGCAAAGCGGAGGTGGTGTAGTTGCCGACCATCTATCTTCACTCCCATTCCTTCCCACTCCAGTTGTCACATGACATTCTCGAGGGTGGCACTGATGAGTTTCGGTGAAATGGTATCACACCCTGCCGAACCCCTCTCTTGACACGGATGATCACTTCCTTGTAGAATGGTGAGATCCTGGTAGTGAATCCATAATACAGCTCACGGAGGATCCTGATATATTGAGTTTGAATGCCCTGTTTGGCTAGGGCATTTATGACTGCTTCAGTCTCAACAGATGTAAACATTTTTGATGTAAACATTTAAAAATAACAAATGTACAAACTGAATGTTTACTTGGTAAATATCTTAAAAAATAATATCATATATCTAATATATAAAATACATAACATCTAACATATACTATAAAGCATACATAAAATAACAGAACTTAATGAATTATAATAAGAAATTAGTCCTAAAATAATTTCTATTTGATTTGCTAATTTCTAGGTGTAACTGATATACTATGCTCTTTTGATACAGCTATCCAGGAATAATGCTGTATTATTAAATCAGCATTTTGATATGGAGTGCCATATTAAACTTTTTCAATAAGTTCCTCACTAAAGTGAGAGTTTCTGTTTACGGAATTCTGTTACTGCAGAACTAAAAACAATTTCGTATCTCCCCGTTAATTCATATAATATTGTCTGAGATTTTAAAATACTGGATACTTCTATGCTTGGGCAATGAATGAAATCATAAATCAGAATATTTTAATCAGGTCAAAACTCATTTCACACTAAGAGGCAGCATCAACCATAACCAATTGTAGGCTGTGTTGCTGGTTCTCCTACTTCTGCAAGTACAGTCTTAAATATTCCATTCCAGTGTCAAATATTCCATTCCAGCGTCTCAGTTTTCTCAGAGGGAAGAGGAGGGTGTGATCACAATTCCATAGCTCAATGAGTTAATATGCATTTCAGAATCATATTTAGGATGGAATAAGTGATACATAAAAGTTAGCACTCGTTTTTATTCATAGTCAACACCGGAAAGGTAAACATGTGATAGGAATTTAAAGTCTTGTCCTAGTAAGCAAAGAAACTTGATGGAGTTGGTTAAGAGAAGAATCCACATTATGGGTGTTTCCTGATGCCACACTTTGCACGGAATCCCTCTGCCCTATGTGGAATCACTCTGGCTCCAGAAGTGCCTTCCGCAGTGTGGCGATCAAGTACTTAGCTATTGCCATTCCCCAACTCGAGACAGTTCTTACAAACACTAAAGAATGACATCAATGAAAGGTAGTACAGCTTGAGGTACTAGAAAGATAGCAAATTAAAGCCACTCTTCAGTTTTTTGTAGGATTGCTCCAGGGTGAACACGACAGAATCTGACAGACTTCATCTGATACAGAGCATGGGGGTGGGGAGTAAAAATTGTCCCTTCGGATCCAAGGGTGGCAGAAGGAAGAATTGTGACGGGGAAGAGGAGGGGAAGGGGACCGGAGCAATTTGCAAAGCACCTCGGAAGGATACTGGTGCTTTCTGGAATGGGCATAGCCCTGGAGGCTCCTGCTATGCCCACACTAACCCTTTACTTTCCTTCCATAGGAGAATCAGGAAAAAGTTCCTTAGAAAAATGTGATGATGGCTAGGGAGTGATTACCCAGGGGAACTCAAGACAAAGTTTCATTTATGAAACAGCATGGAGTTACTTCAACCCATCAGCAGAACTGTACTGGCACGATATCCAAATATCAGCCCTAATTAAAGGAATAAAAAAGCTAAATTCCAACTAACTTTGCATTTTACCATAAAGGCCCTCCCGTTGATCGTCGATTTGCTCGAGCGGGCCCAGTAACGTCTCCATTTTACCATGACTAAATTTAATCTGCTGCATACCAGATTTATAACTACTCGGCTACAAACAAATTAAACCAATTTTAAGAGTATGTAAAAGAAACCTACAATCTCATTGCAAACGGAAAGATGGCTAGGGTATCCTCCTAAGTCTAATAAATCAGTAACATAACAGCATATTCTCTGTGTAATTATATTCACATACCAAATTACAGAAGAGAATTCCACCAGTTCTTTTTGAAACGTCAATAAATCCAAATCCTGACAATCTTACCTGCTACCCTTTCATCTGTTTCCCTGTTACCATCATCTGAATATCTTGCAAAGTCTAAAGAATCAAGGGTACTGATGCTCCCAGCTCGATCTGTAATAAAGAGAAAAAATTAAACAGATGTTTACTTTTCAAAATAAGGGACGAGCTATTTATGATTACTCCAGTTAATAAAATGATCACACATTAGCATAGTATAGTAGTTTAAAAAGTATTCTATTTCCCCATATTAAGGATAAAACATAATCTTTAGAGTAAAAACAGATGGTCGGGATCTGGGCAGATACATGCTGAGCAAGCCAGAGCCCGGCTCCAATGTCCTGTACTACCTGCTCCCTGCCACCCCAACAGGTTGGGAGTAACCCTGAGCATGGAGCAGGAAGTAACGTCTACTTCCACCCCACCCAGCTGGGAGCAACCTTGAGCATGGCACCAGGAGTAGCGTGTGTGGTGCCGGGTGTTCCCCTCCCCCACCCCAACAGATGTCAGTTAAACTCAACATATTTGAAATGTCATCGTATTTTTAGTTGTGACATTTTACACTTATGTCAGAAATTATTTGATAGATGGAAAGCCTATGAAGTAAATGATAAAAAAGAAACGAAACATTTAAATTTGACTCATTCAAAATTTTTAATCCTTTCTATTAGTGCCTCACAACCTGAAGACACTTGGTGAATGGCAAATATTTCAAGTCTTCAAGTGCCCGAAGATCTGTTTTTTGGTTTGTTTTTTATTTGGCTCACTTACACTTCCTTTGATGCTCCCAGTAGCTATTACTATGAGTTTTATAGCTGTGTCAGAAAATAAAGCTATGCTTATCAGAAAACTTGAAGGGGCCCGAGAGACAGTAGAGAGGATGAGATGCTAAGGTGCTTGCCTTGCACATGGCAGGTGTTTATGACAGTCGAGGTAATTTTTTTTTTCTTTTTTGTTTTGCACAGGGGGAAGGTTGGGCCACAGCTGGTGGTAGTCAGGGCTTACTCCTGGCTCTGCCCTCAGGGGTCACTCCTGGTGGTATTCAGAGAGCTCATATGTGGTGCCTGGGATCTCTCCGAATTTAAATATTATGCAACTTCTTAATCATTCACATTATAACCCAGAAACTGAAATGACTGGGGGATTTCCATTGTAGCTGACAAGCTGGTAAACCCTGTTGTAAGCTTTGTTGTCTGAAAGCTAAATCTGTCATGCACAGTGATCTTACAATTCTCACACAAATGTTGTCTCTAGATTTACCTTCAATTTTTCAGTACTGATGACACAATATACTTCTCACAGTGGTTAAAAAAAAAAGTCTGCTGGAGAGATAGTACAGTGCGTAAAACGCTGCATGTGGCAGGCCTGGGTTTGATCTCTGTATCTATCACATGTGGTCCTTGAGCGGACATATGGGAGTAAGCCCTGCTGTGGCTCAAAATCCGCTCCCCACCCCCAAATAAATTTTACAAAGTCTCAGGCCCTTTAAAAGGCATCTTTGTGGGAATCATACAGCAGGCAGAAAAAAACTGAAGTAGGGACCAGCGAAACAAGGCAACACGGCCCTTGCCTTGCAGGCGGATACAATAGCTGCAAGCTTGGCTCCAATTCCTGGCAGCACATGGTCTCCTGAGCACAAAGCGAGGAACGGCTCCTGAGCACTGCCGGGTGTGGCTCCAAAACCCAAATAAATAAATAAAAACTAAATGTAACAGAAAATCTGACCAGCTGCTGATTGAAGAGTGCTGGTTATATTGACTTAACATTTATTGACTAGTTAATTCTACGAGATTGATGAAAAGTACAGGAAACAAAGGCTCAGTTTGGGAGGGTCACAGCCAGCAGTGCTCAGAACAGGGGGTGCTGGGGACTGAACCCGGATTCCTGACAGCAAAGCATTAGCTCCAGCCCGTGGTGTGACCTCCCCAAACCTAAAGGGATACTTTCTACGAAAATATGCATGTACAAGTCCAAGTAGGTATATTTGTGTATGCTCATATGTGCGTTAAGTGTTTTTGCATATACAATAAGCTATTACTAAAAAGTGACTCCTCACTGGGGCCCTTTGGATGGGGGAGGTTGAATTTCCCTCTCTGCCCCGAGCAGAGCCCTCGCATCTGAAGACCTCTGGAACCCAGCCACAGCCATGCTTAAGACCACTCTCCACATGCTTGGACGAGCCTCACACATGAAGGAACTGGCAGAGGAACCCAGTGACCCGGCTGAGATCCCCAAGCCTGCTCGGATTGAGACTGGGCTTCCTCCACCCAGATCCCCCATCTTCCAGCACAAGGCAGCTACACCCACCAACTGCCCTCCCTGCCCCCCCCCCCCCCGGGTAATCCCATCATCAACCAAGACCCAGAGACTATAAAACCACCTCTTATTATCTAGTTCTCGCTCTCGGAGAACCCAGGAGGCTACCACGAATATCCTGCTCACACAGCAGAGTCTGGCAAGCTTCCCCCTGGTGTATTCGATATGACAAAACCCAGTAACAATGATAGTCTCATTCTCCTGACCCTGAAAGAGACTCCAATGTGGCACTTGCTAAAATCTCAGAGCTAGGATGAATGGAGACGTTACTGGTGCCTGCTCAAGAAAATCGATGAACAACGGGATGACAGTGATACAGTGACTCCTCATACTTTTTCACTAGAAACTTTTCTTTGTAGTATTTGAATTTCTTTTGTTTTAGGTATACCTGGTGATGCTCAGGGCTTACTCCTGACTCTGTGCTCAGGGATCACCCTGGCTGGGCTTGGGGACCATATGAGGTGCTGGGGATTGTACCCAGGTCAGCCACATGCAAAGCAAGTGTCCTAAAGGCGGTATTTTCTCTCCAATTTTTTAAGTTTGGCTGTGGTAGTTTGGGTCTAACGCTTTCAATGTTGATGGCTTTGTGGTTCAAATACATACAAATATCACACCTCATCACTGGTGTGTCAGAGGCCCTGACCCTGTCCCCTACTGATCACCTCCTGCCTGACTCCTCTTACTTCTTAAAAGTTCTTAAGTACTCCTGTACTAAAATTTGGCCTTAAATGTAACTGTACGCCATATAAACTTTTTGTTTTGGGTCAGACCCAGTGATGCTCAGGGGTTACTCTTGGCTTCGCACTTAGGAATTATTCCTGGTGGTGTTTGGGGTACTGGGGGCTGAACTCTGGTGGACCTCATACAAGGCAAATGTCCTACCTACAGTACTATTAATCCGGCCTAGAGACCTTAATGCTGTATTAGTGTCAAAACTCATATTCATATTTTCTGATCCTCAATTCTCCAATGTTGAGGCTCATTTTCACCGATCTCTTTATTCAAACTTAAGAGTCGGAGGGAATATTAGTTCAAAGTCTCATTTTTACAGATGAGAAAACTTGAATATATTCCCTGAATGAGTAACCTATCGTAGGGAACATAAATATAAAATTCAGCTATGCTTCTTTCTTGCTTAAACAGGCATCTAAACTACTGAAATTAAGACTTGCACAAAGGGCTGGGGATGAGGCTTATGGCAGAGTATATGCCTCCCAAGTATGAGGACCCGGGTTCAATCTCTATACTGCCTCGCCTAGCCCCAAAGGAATAAAAAGCTACATGCACAGATAACAACAATAAAATCCTATCACGCTATGTTAAAGATTAAAACAATTAATTTCTATGCAATCTGGGTGTAGAATTCAAGTCTACCAGTAGAATTCAAATGTGTATAGTACTTTCTTTGTCACAGAAGAGTCTACAAAATGAACTAAACTTCAAGATCAAAAGATTTAGAATTCGGAAGCGATTTAAATGCCGAAATAACTGCAAATGATTTCCCTAAGCTGAAATTTATATATGCCAGATGGTATTAACATACGATGAACTGTCAAGCAAAGAGATTATTAATTGAAAGTTTGTTAGAAGCCAGAGAAATAGTACAGTGGACGAGGCATTTGCCTTGTACAAGGCCAACCCACGCTTGATGCCCAGCATCTCATACGGGTCCGCTACCACTCCCAGGAGTAATTCCTGAGTGTGGAGCCAAGAATAAATCCTGAGCATTGCTGAGTGTGGCTCAAAAACAAACAAACAAACAAAAAGCAGTTTGTTATCTTAACATTTTGACCACTTACTCTGTGCCAGATACTTTTAGGCTTTATTTAAATTCCCAATTTCTTTAGAGAGTCACTACCATTGGCATTTTACAATAAAAGAAGCAGACTATGCAGAATCATGCAACTAGGAAATAGAACAGAGAAGTGAAGATGAACTCCAGCTGACACCAGACCCTCAGCCCTTAGGTCGCCTGAATAATAGAGAAAGCCATGCAAGTCCCTTTTTCCCAGATTCTGGTAAATGGAGCCTGATACTGTGAATGACCTCAGAAAGATCAACTTGGCTCACAGTTGAGGAGATAAGCCGAAAAAGGGTAAAAGTGAAAGGACACAAAGACTGTATCTGTGTGCTGCCACTAATAAAGATCATTTGTATAATACAAGTTCGACATTTATTCAACGCTTAGTTGCTAGTCACGATATTAGGCTCCGGGGACATGGATAAGCAAAAACATGTTCTCTCTTCCATTCTCATGTCAACTCTCTCTGTCCCAACTCTTATGCCTATTTTCCATTCTGTGAAGTAAATATTCACACTGTAGCATTTGTTCCTAGCTTGAAAAAAGATGACACTAGTTGCAGACTACAATGTCTCTATAAAATAAACCTATAGTCAGCTGAAACACTAACACACAAATACTTCCAAAACACTATATAGGTCAAGTGAAATCTGCAAGTGGAACTGACAAAAACACAGCATCACAAATTCAAAGCTTCTGATGATCACTACTGGTTGGAGAAGCTTCAAGGAAAGGAAGAAACAAACTGGTACTTCCTTTAGAGATAAAAAAAAAAAAGGATGGGGGTTGGGGGGGAGAAAGAGGATGAGGCATAAATATTCCAAGAGAAGGAAAAGTAACATACGTGGACAAAGGCACTCTGGAAATGATAAAGCACATTCAAAGGCCACTGAGCTGTGAGCATAACCAGGATTTATACATGGACATGAAGTTCTGTTTTCCTGAAATAATTATCCCTAACTGACTTCCTTTTAGACTAAATACCAAATACCACAGT